TTTAAATTTTCCAGGTTTTAATAAAAAGTAATTTGTCATACCAAGAACCAGGAAGATCTCAAACTGAAATGAGAAAAGACAAAAGAGACCAACAGCAAGATAACAGAGATGCTGGAATTACCTAGGAAGGACTTTAAAGCAGCTACCATTAAGAGAAATTACAGACAGGTAGCAATGACCTTGGCTTTCCAGGTGACACAGTGGTAAAGAATCCACCTGCCATTGCAGGAGATGCGGGTTCAATCTCTGGGTCGGGAAGACCCCCTAGAATAGAAAAGAGCAACCCACTCCAGTATTCTCGTCCGGAAAACTCCATGGACAGAGAAGCCTGGCGGGCTATCATCCATGGGGTCACAAGGAGCCAGACATGACTGAGAGACTGAGCAAGCATGCACCATTAAAATATTTCAGTAAGTGATTAAGGACACATCTGAAATACATTTAAAACAAACACAGGAAGTCTTCACAAAACCAGAAAAGTCTCTGCAAAAGCTATATAAAGATATATACCAAGAATAACCAAATAAAAATTTTAGAAATAAAAAAATAATACATTGTTCAATGAAGAGACTCAACAACAAATAGAGATGATGAATAATCAATGAACATGAATAGAAAGAGTAGAAACTACTCAGTTAGAACAGAGAAAAAACAGATTAAAGAAAAAAAATGATCAAAAACTTTTAAACATGTAGGACATCTAACATCTGTGTCATTAGTTTTAGAAGACAAAAGAGGGTGGGGCTAAAAAAAAAAAATTCCAGAAATAATAGCTTAAAATTTCCCAAATTTAGCAAGAAACATAAACCTGTGTGAAACTGAATGAACACCAAATACGATTAACCCCCAGATATACACTTCACAGCAGACTTCTGAAAGCCAAAGACAAAGAGAGCAAGCAGAAGCCATACACTGCCTTTAAGGGTAAGAATTCAAATGACAGCAAGTTTCTCATCAGAAATCAGGAGGGCCAAAGGATAAAGCACACATGTTCCCAGTGATGAAAGAAATGTCAACTCAGAATTCTATACTAGTAAAAACATTCTTCAGAGAAAAAGATGAAATTGAGACATTCTCAAATGAAGGAAAATGGAGAATCTGTTGCTAGCAGATCTGTCCTAAGAAAATGACCAGATGAAGTTCACTAAACAGACAGTAAATGATAAAAAAAGAAATCCGGAAACATCAGAAGGTAAGAAAGGATGGTCACACCAGAATACATGTAAATATAATAAAAAACCACATCTTTATTTTTCTAAGCTTGACAGCCATATTTTTTCATACCCCAGCTGATTCTCAATACATGTAAAAGAAATACTTAAAAGAATGATACCATAAAATGAGAGAGAAAAAGGGACTTTAGAGGTAACGGTTTGGGCTCTCCTGGTGGCTTAGTGGTAAAGAATCCATCTGCCAATGTAGGAAACAGGTTCAATACCTGATCTGGGAAGGTCCCACATGCCACAGAGCAATTAAGCCTATGCGCCACAACTACTGAGCCTGTGCTCTAGAGCCCAGAAGCCTCAATTACTGAGGCCATGTGCCGCAGCTCAAGATGCCCCACACCCCAGAGGTATTGCTCTGTAACAAGAGAAGCCACTGCAGCGAGAGGCCGGCGCATCACAGCTACAGAGTAGCCCCCACGTGCCACTAGAGAGAAGCCTGTGCAGCAACAAAGACCCAGCACAGCCAAAAATAAATAAATAAACACAGTTACAGACGCAATGGTTTGACACTTCACTGCACTTGATAAAACGTGATCATCTGACTGAAAAACATGTATATATGTATAATAACTAGAACAACCACTAAAATATTAATAGAAATACAAAGAGAAACTCAAAAAGTTACAGATAAATCAAAAAGTAACTCTAAAACATGTTCTATGGGAATTCCCTGGGGATCCAGTGGTTAGGGCTCCATGCTTTGACTGCTAAGGGCCCAGGTTACATCCCCAGACTAGGAACTAAGGTCCCACAAGGTACCACAAGGTGGTACAGCCGAGAAAAATAAACGTAAGTAAAACAAAATAACACATGTTCCAGTAACTCACAAAAGGTTTAAGTCAAAGAACAGAGACATGAAAAATAGAACCAAAAACACAAACAATAAAACAGCATGCTTAATGTATCAAAATCACACTATATGTAAATGATCTACAGGAAAGGATGACTGATGTGTTTTGATACAAACTTGGAAGCAAGTATTATATAAACTTTGAGATCCAATTCACCATATAATGACTAGAGACAATAATATCATATTGTATTATGTAAAGTAATAAACATTGCCACACTGGCACTCATTTACACTATACAAAGGCCTCAAAGGAACACAGTACACCTTAAACTCATACAACAAAAATGTAAATGTCCTAACTATACCAACTACAAGACAGAATTTGTCAGATGAGGGGTGACCCGACTACACGCTGCCTGCAAGAAACGACATGCTGTCTGTGAGAAACACGCTTCACAGTAATACGTACATTGAAAGAAAAAAAGACTAATAAGCCCATGCGTCACAACTACTGAGCTGTAAAGATTCCACTTGCCACGCAGGAGACACGGGAGACACAGGTTCCATCCCCGGGTCAGGAAGATCCCCTGGAGAAGGAAATGGCCATCCACCCCAGTGTTCCTGCCTGGGAATTCCCATGGACGGAGGAGCCTGGAGGGCTCCAGTCCACGGGCTGCAGGAGAGTCGGACACGACTGAGCACATGAGCACAAGCTTTACTTGCGTGCGTGCTGTGTGTGTGGGCATGCTAGAGCCTGGCAGCTGCAACTGCTGAGCCCATGTGCCCCAACTGCTGAAGCCAGCGTACCCTGGAGCCCACGCTCCACAGCAAGAGAGGTCGCCACAATGAGGAGCCCACGCACTGCAGTTAGAGTAGCCTTCCCCTGCCACAGAGAGAAGCCCACACATAGCAATGAAGACCCAGCACAGCCAAAAACAAATATAAGTAAATACATAAACTAAAAAAAAAATTCACTGCTAATGGAAATGACTTGCGTATAAACCCGAGGACTATGAACTATCAGAAGATAACAGGAGAAAACCTTGGGAAACATGGTCCAGGTGAAGTGTTAAATGTGACAACAAAGCACAGTCCATACAAGGGAAGACTAATAAATTACACTGTATTAAAAACTGTGAAAGGCACTGTCAAGAGGATAAAAAGATATGTTACAGATCACATATCTGACAGGATTATTCCAATCTCAAACATATATATAAGCATTCTCAAAACTCAACAGTAAAAAAATAATTAAAACAATTAGAAACTGAGCAAAAGACATGAAGACACAGTTTACTTGAACAGCATATACAGATGGCAAATAAGCACAAAAAGATGCTCAGCATCACAGGCTACTAGGGAAATGCAATTAAGATCACAAAGAAATATCACTACACATCTATTGAACAGTTAAAATAAAAAATAGTTACAATACCAAAAGCTGGTGGGATACAGAGAAAATGACTCACTCACAACTACTGATGGAAAAGTGAAATGGAGAAAAATTCTGGAAAGTAGTTTGCCAGTTTTTTAAAAAACTAATCATATACTTTAATATATTCAACTTAGCAACTGCATTTTTGGGCATTTATTCCAGAGAAACAAAACTTTATGTCTGCACAACAACCTGTACGTGAGTGTTCACAGTAGGTTTACTGGTAACAGCCAAAATCTAGAACAACCAAAATGTCCCCCAACAGGTAAATGTCTCTCAATACAAAATGTGGTACACTCATATCATGGCATACCACTCAGCAATAAAAAGGAACAGACTACTGAAACATGCAACAATTTGAATGTTGCAATTTAAAAATGAAACAAGGGCACTGTGCTGAGTAAAAACATGAAACTCAAAAGATCACAGGCTATATGATTCAATTTACACACACTGTGGAAAAGACAAAATTATATAGATGGCCAACAAATCAGTGATTGACAGCAGTTAGGGAAGGGGAAGGAGGGTATGACTGTAAGACGGTGTAGTAGGAAGAGGCGGAGAAGGCGATGGCACCCCCCTCTAGTTCTCCTGCCTGGAGAATCCCATGGACGGAGGAGCCTGGTAGGCTGCAGTCCATGGGGTCGCTAAGAGTCGGACAAGACTGAGCGACTTCACTTTCACTTTTCACTTTCATGCACTGGAGAAGGCAATGGCACCACACTCCAGTGTTCTTGCCTGGAGAATCCCAGGGATGGTGGAGCCTGGTGGGTTACCATCTATGGGGTCGCACAGAGTCTGACACGACTGAAGCGACTTAGCAGCAGCAGTAGGAAGAGGATATTATAAACAGCTTTACATCTTGATTGAGGTAGTAGATATACATATCTACACGCATGATAAAATGACAGAACCAGATATAAACACTATACCAATTTCAAACTTCTGGTTTTGATTTTATTTACCATGTAACAGCTAGGGAACAGGGTAAAAAGTATGTGAGATTTTTCCATATTATCTTTGCAACTTCTTATAAGTCTACAATTATTTCCAAATTAAAAGTGAAAAAAAGAAAAAAAAAAGTGCCTCCTACAACAGAGACTTCTATATGCAGCTCTGAACACCTGCCACCTCTTATTAGGGCACACAACCAAAGGGATTTGGCATGTGATTTTAAGGTTCTGGTTTTGTTTCTTAAATTAAAAAAGCATTTTTTTCTGATTATACAGAGTATTCAAGTAAAAAAATTAAATATAAACTTATATCATCAGAATCATATTATTAATACCATGATTCACTTTTGGGTCTATCTTGAAAATATGAACGTGAAGATTAGATAAAGCATGTGTTTTATGAAAGCAAAAGACGACAACAGATAATCTGTTTAAGATAGAAAAAAGCTTAAAGAAGGAAAGGGTTTCAAGTACATTTCTAATTTCTCAAAGTTTTCTTTCAGTTTTTTTTTTCTTTAAATTTTAAAAGGATGGTAGCACAGAGACCCCGTTTCCCTCAGGTGGATTCGGTCAAGTGAAGGTCTGCTCCCTACCTCAGGGGTTGGCGCAGCATACGCTGTGTAAGAAGGTGGGGAGGAAGCCACAGCTGTCTCATCATACATGACTTCTGAGCCAACATAAGCCTTGAGAGGAGAGAAATTGTGGGGGGAAAAAAGAAAAATTAAAGGCCAAAAAGTTGAATCTTTGAAGAGGAAATATAACAACTCTCTGAGAAGCACTGACTAGCAAGATGGGCTTCTCCTTGCCGCCACCCTGCATTCAGTGCCCTCTGAGGTACAGAGGGTTGGTCCTCCCCAGTCACCAGCAGGGGGTAAAAAAAGTGCTCCCTGCCCAAGAGAGCCACAGAGCCTCCAGGGCCACCCAGGCCCTTTCACAGATGTTACCCACTCTCAACAAGCCTTCTGTTCACAAATGAAAGTCCTACAGTCTAAAATGTAGCAGGCAGGGATATGTCCTGCACTCACAATCTGGTTTCTATGTTAAAAACTTCTTAAATCTTTCGTTAAATTACCCCCCAGTGGAAAACAAAAATATATGTGCTTCTTTAAAAACAATCCACATAGAGAATCACCTTGGCTCTTGTCCCTATGAATCATCAATACTAAATAACTTCATTTGAGAAGAGGATTTTCATCAAAGAAAAGGTAATGGGAGTTTTAGAGTAAGCTTAGGAGGAAAAATAGTCCTGAGATAACAAAAGCAGTAAAAAAATAGCATTTGAATATTGTCTTTTTACTTTCTTTTACCACTTGTACAAATCATTTAAAAAGCTCCATCTATCTGTTTCTTTTCCTCCTAGAGAAATAAAGGAAAAAATAAAATCCTATCTGAAGAATGAAAGAAAATGCTGACCACAGAGGGAACTGCCTTTGACTCCCTGACAGACACAAAGATGGTACCACTAGCCTTTACAAATGGGGTTTACTGTCTCAGTTACCTCCTAAAGTCAAAAGAAACTAGAGACAAGTACAAGACTCAAAAATGTCTATTTCACAGGCTGAGATGCTATACATGAAAAGGGCCCTGTAATCCCTTTTGTGCCTTCTCTGCAAACTACAGCAGAATTCAAAGTGCTGTAAATCTTTGTGAGATACAGACATTTCTAAAAAATAACACTGGGATCAATGTGCCTGTGTTAGATTGGCTCCTGCCAAAATGTTTTCCAAAATCCAGCTTCCTCACTGTCAGTGAAACACAGCCTGTCTATCTCTGCTTGCTCATTCAGGGCCGAGTGACCAAAAAAAAAAAAAAANCCATCAATTCATGGCAAATAGATGGGAAAACAATGGAAACAGTGACAGACTTTATTTTTGGGGGGTCCAAAATCACTGCAGATGGTTACTGCAACCATGAAATTAAAAGACACTTGCTCCTTTAAAGAAAAGTTATGACCAACCTAGACAGCATATTAAAAAGCAGAGATGTTACTTTGCCAACAAAGGTCCATCCTGTCAAAGCTATGATTTCTCCAGTAGTCATGTATGGATGTAGGAGCCGGACTATAAAGAAAGCTGAGCACTAAAGCTTTTGAACTGTGGTGTTGGAGAAGACTCTTGAGAGTCCCTTGGACTGCAAGGAGATCCAACCAGTCAATCCTAAAGGAAATCAGTCCTGAATATTAATTGGAAGGACCGATGCTGAAGCTGAAACTCCAATATTTTGGCCACCTGATATAAAGAAATGACTCATTTGAAAAAACCCTGTTGCTGGGAAAGATTGAAGGCGGGAGGAGAAGGGGACAACGGAAGATGAGATGGTTAGATGGCATCACTGACTCAATGGACATAAGTTTGAGTAGTCTCCAAGAGTTGGTGATGGACAGGGAAGCCTGGCATGCTGCAGTCCATGGGGTCACAAAGAGTCAGACACAACTGAGTGACTGAACTTAGCCCTCGCCTCAAGACTCACTCAGTCAACTCACTTAAGACATGCACTAGGAATATATAATATGTAAAGAAAAAAATCTACAGTATTGATACATATGTAATATTTAAACTATAACCTACATGAAAGTTTTTCCTTTTTTTTTTTTTTTTAATTTTTGCTGAGCCATGGTCATGTGGGATCTTAGTTCCCTGACCAGGGATTGAACCCAAGCTCCATGTAGTGGAGGCATTGAGTCTTAACCACTGGACCACCAGGGAAGTCCTTCACTTTTTAATAAATGTAAAATGCACCATGCTTAATTAACTATACTAAACCTATACTTTATCAGGTCATGATATACACACAGATCTATTAATATTTGATTTTTTTAAATGGCTACATAAAGTTCCACATATGAGATTTAGAAGGTCAGCAGTATTTTGCACTTAAAAATAATGCTGGTATTTGAGAAACTGATATATAACAAATTAAGTTTAAGGTATACAATATGATGATCTGAATCACATATAACATAAACTGATTCCTACAATAAGGTACCTCTACTCCTACACACCTGATTAATTTTTTACTTCTTTGGTGATAACATTTAAGATTTACTATCTTAACTTTCAAGTATATGAGACAGAACTATTAATTATAATCACTGCTACAAGAGATGCCGAGAACTTACTCATCTTACAGCTGGAAGCTTATACCCTTTGTCCAACATCTCACCATTTCCCTCAACCACAGGTAAACACCATTCTACTCTCCACTTCTATGAAAATGAAAGTGTTAGTTGTTCAGTCATGTCTGGCTTTTTTAGATTCTTCATATAAGTGAGAAATACAGTCATTTTTCTTTCTCTAACTTACTTCACTTAGCATAAAGCCCTCAGGATCCATTTATACACTGTGAAAGCAGGGTTTCTTTTTTTATAGTTGATTAATAGTTCATTGCCCATACATGTGCAAGTCTGTGTGTGTTTGTATATGTATCATTTTATTTATCAATTCATTCATTCTTCAGACACTTAAGTTGCTTCCATGTGTTGGCTACTATGAATAATGCAAGAAACACAAGGGTGCAGCTATCTCATCAACACAGCCATTTAATCCCTTTCAAATATATGTTGAAAAGTGGCATTTTAGAATCATATGTTAGTTCTATTTCGGTTTCTTTGAGGAACCTCCATACTGTTTTCCATAGTGGCTTCACAACTTTACATTCTCACCAAAAGTGCAGAGGATTCCTTTTCTCCACATCCTCACCCAACAACTTATGTTTTGTCTTTTTGGTAACAGCCATTCTAAGGTAGCCATACAATTGCAGTCATTTCACATGCTAGCAAGATAATGCTCTAAATCTTTCACGCTAGGCTTCAACAGTACATGAACTAAGAACTTCCAGATGTACAAGCTGGATTTAGAAAAAGCAGAGGAATCAGTGATCAAACTGCCAATAGCCACTGGATAATAAAAAGCAAAGGTATTTCAGAAAAACATCTACTTCTGCTTCACTGACTACACCAAAACCTTTGTGTCAATCACAGCAAACTGTGGGAAATTCTTAAAGAGAGGGGACCACTAGACCGTCTTATCTGTCTCCTGAGAAACCTGCAGGCAGACCAGGAAGCAATGGTTAGAACTGGACATGGAACAGTGGACTGGTTTAAAATTGGGGAAGGAGGACGTCAAGGCTGTATGCTGTCACCCTGCTTGCTTAACTCATACGCAGAGTACATCATGCAAAATGCTGGTGTGGGTGAGTCCAAAGCTGGAATCAACTGCTGGGAGGGGGCTTCCCTGGTGGTCCAGAGGCTGACAATGTGTCTGCCAATGCAGGAGATATGGGTTCAACCCCTGCTCCAGGAAGATCCCAGATGCTCCAAAATCACTGCAGTGACTGCAGCTATGAAATTAAAAGATGCCTGGTCTCTGGAAGGAAAGCTATGACAAATCCAGACAGCATACTAAAAGCAGAGACCTCACTTCGTCAACAAAGTTCCATCTAGTCAAAGCTATGGCTTTTCCAGTAGTCATGTACAGACATGAGAGTTGGACCATAAAGAAAGCTGAGCTCAAAGAACTATTGCTTCAAACTGTGGTGCTGGAGAAGACTCTTGAGAGTGTCTTGGATAGCACGGAGATCAAACCAGTTAATCCTAAAGGAAATCAATATTCATGAAATATTCATTGGAAGGACTGATGCTGAAGCTCCGATATTTTGGCCACTTGATGCAAAGAGGCGACCCCGTGGAAGAGACTCTGATGCTGGGAAAGCAAGGCAGGAGTAAAAGGGGCTGACAGAGGATGAGATGGCTGGATGGCATCATCGACTCCATGGACACGAGTCTGAGCAAACTCTGGGTGACCGTGAAGGACAGGGAAGGCTGGTGTGCTGCAGTCCATGGAGTCACAAAGAGTCGGACACAACTGAGCGACTGGACAACAACAATCCACTTTATAAAGTGAGGATTAAACAACATATATAAAGCAGTCAGCACAGAGCCCAGTTCAAAGTAAGTATTCAATATACATAAGCTTAAATGATTAACTAGTAAAAATATATATAGATCCAATTTATAAAAAAGTAGCAAACTGGCTAGATGTGTTCATTTCTCCATTTGTCTTTATGAGAGCTACACCTCTTCCAGAAAGTGACATTTATCATTCCCTAAATAAGAATGTAAAAAAGAAACTACATCTGGCATTTAAATTAAACCCTAGAGTTTAGCATGCCTATATTGAGGGTAAGCATATATGTACAATGCAGGGTCAGGCACTCTAACAAACTGGCCACCTGGATTTTATAAAAATGTATATACATATGAATATTTTAATATACAGGGATATTATTATAATCTCTGTTAATGACTTCTCAAATGTCCAGAGTTAACCTATGGTAGTGGTAAAGTGTGGACAGAAAAAAAAAAAAAATCAGAGTTTTCAAGATTCTCGTCCTACATTAATTGGATGTTATGGGATGTTAAGGGATGAGAACTAGTGAACTTGGGCTTTCCTTCTTGTATTTCTATACTCTTTCTTCAGAGGGAGCAAATGGGAGTAAGAACCATCAAAAGATGGAAAAGGCTATATAATACAGATGTCAGGGCTATTTAAAAAGATATTTACATTACAATAAGAAGATTTAACGGTAATCCCTTGCTAGTCCACAGGTTAGGATTCTGCATTCTCACTGCTGTGGGCCCAGGTCTGATTACTGGTTAGGGAACTAATATCCCACAAGCCTGACAGCACAGCCAAAAAAAATCACGATTTAAGAACCCACTTAAAAAAAGAAAAAAAGAACCCACTTAGCCATGCCCATCATCCAATTCACATCTAGTAATGAGAAAAGAATGCAAAGTGACTATATCTAATACTTTCTGCCATACTCACTATATAAGGACACTGCAGAGGCAGAAGCTAGCATCAGGGCATCAGACATGGACTAAGACACTTAACATTTCTTTCACACACCTCTAAGTCACTTATTCTACTGCCTAAAGGAAAACTTAACTCCCATCCTTTTCCTTTCCTGAAACTGGAAATTAAAACAGAAAGTACTTTTTAAGTTAAACACATCAGAAAAAACTTACAAACAATCATCTGTGCTTTCTGCACAAAGACTGATGGTTTTTCCATCCCGGCAAACAATCTGCAGCATACAGTCTTTTGGCTTTCCATCTGGTGGCTGAATATCTATAAAAAATATATAGAAATATTAACACCACTTTTTTCCCCCAAGGATTTCTTCTTAATAGCTCAGATAAGCAAAGGACCAGTACTTCAGAACATTGTAATTATAAAACATCTTTGTTCTGCCCTACAGAACCAAACACATGAATCATTACTCCGTACTAGTTAAACTTCCTGCAGGAGAAACAAGAAAGCCTCTTCAAGAGGGCATCCACATATGCTAATACACAGAACAGCCCAGACATTAGGAGAATAAGCACAATGAAAAGTGTTGCGAAGCATCAGTTACTAGAATACTTACTTCTTTTATTCACAGGAAGCATCAAACTACATCACTGCTTTAGAAGTGAAAATCAGATGTTCACAGTATCTCTGGGACTTGTCTGGTGGTCCAGTGGTTAAGAATCTGTCTTCCAATGCAGGGAATGGGGGTTTGATTCCTGGTTAGGGAACTAAGATCCCACATGCCACGGGGCAACTAAGCCCGAGCAAAAGCCCGTGTGGCACAACCAGAGAGACTGTACACCACAACTGCTAAGCCCACACACTCTACAGCTCATGCACCACAACTAGAGAGAAGTCTGCATGCTGCAACAAAATACCCGGCAACAAAGATCCCACGTGCGGCAGCTAAGACTTGACACAACCAAAATAAATAAATATTTTTTTAAAACAAAAAAACTCATAAAAAGAAATAAAGTATATCTGTGTACACCAAGAAGTATAAGACCTATGACATCTGAGCCTGGTTCAAGTAAGAATTTCAACAAGTAGTCCATAGAAACTTGTGTTTCAAGAACTTATATGGGCAGGATGTTGTAACACCAATGGTTACTACAGTGAACACTGTACTCCAGAGCTAATAAAACAAACAGGGAAGTCCACATATGCCATTAATTAGAAACAGAAAAGTCTGTGCTTATTAAAAACCTATTCCTTCGAAATTTATATAAGAGGTAACTCCGGGAAAGACATCAGATTTTTAGAAACTGGAGCTGTTATCAATAAGCCAGTTTCTGAGTCACAAAATCTAACTACCTAGAGTAGCTCCATCCTTCCTGGGGTTCCCAGCACTCTGAGTCCTTAGTTCTCCACCACTTTCTTCATGAGAGAGAACAGAAATGTGGACTGATGGATCTATTCAGAGGAGAAAATTAATCTGCCGGTCCATATGGGTTATAATCCAGGTGTCTGGTTTCATCTGGTTACCTCTGCCTATATGAAACCCTTCTCTGATCTGTAAATGAAAGCAAAATGGCCAAGAAAGAGGAATCACTCCCACCAAGAATGGGGACGGGTAGGTGACACAAGCTGAACACTGCAAACCACCTACCCCGACATTCATGTCCCATGCGGATGTTGATGCAGTCCACTGGCATGTGGACCTTATCTTCTACACTCTGCCGAGTCTGGTCATCATAATAGATCAGGTGACCATCTGACCACAGGTCAAACCAATTCTTCTTCCAGCGCTTCAAAATAGTACCTGAAAAAAAGTGGAAATGTTGGCTTTGAGTGGAAAAGCAAGGACTTTGTCCTCTGACTCACAGGTAACAGAAACAAAAGAAACTTTCCTCTTGCCCCAAAAGTATACCTGCATATGCCTGCCCAGGGCAGTCTATGAAAATGGAGGTGAGAGCAGGCCCGGAGTGCATGAACACTCATGCTGCACCAGGGCTGCAGGCAGCATACGCTAAGATGAGAATTTAACTCCTNCACCAGGCCCGAGCACTTGTCTCATGCATCCAACCTGGGCTGGTGATCTGTCTCACCCTAGATAATACACATGTTTCGATGCTGTTCTCCTTTCATCTGTCATCTTGGACTAGGCATTTAACTTTACAAAATTCTACTTTCCTGTCAGCCAAAAAGGAAAACTAAAGGTCACCCCTGCGCCATATCTATACCATCTATACCTAGTCTTTTGTTTCTGTAGATCCCATTCTTGGCCAATGGGCACCAATTCCACTGCACGTGCCTCTCCATATCTTCCACGTCTACTGCAGGTATCAAAAGAATACTCATCACAGCTGCCTTCCGAATTTCTTTGACCACTACCAAGCACCCACCTTGCTGAGAGGGGCAACCACAGCACTTGCCCAAATTGATAAATAACTGGCATCCACTATCTATTTGACTGGCAGCACCTGAGCTGTGCAAAAACTACTGAAGAGAGCCACCCAAACACAGACAGGTGTAATCACTAGGCTGCGGAGTGCCAGCCACGCATCACACCGGCCATCAAAGCCCTGACTGCAGAATCCTAAACTAGACTGCCAGGCCCACAGAGATGAGTCTAAGAAAATGAACTCAGTCTCACAGGGAAAGAACTGAGTCTCTTCTCCAGAGTCCTTCTGGAGATAAAAAAAGATTTGGTTTTAGGTAAATGCACTCCCTCAGGTCAAATCTTAATCTATAATTGAAGACTCCAGTATTTTTCAGAATCTCATCACTGTTCAATTCCTAGATGAGATAGCCATTTCCTACAGCAAGCAGTACCTCCATAGTAATACACCAGCTCAGCTTGGGTAGACTTAAGAACCTCAGGTCAGCCATTAATAATACAGAATGTTAGCAAGAAAAATCAGCAGGGACTACTATCCCCTGGTTCCTGTCAGGCAGCAACCAAGAAGCTTCATGCATGCAGAAAAACAGTTCACAGAAATCTAAAAATCTGCAAGAGGAAATCCAGAGCAACAGCATTAGTAAGACTCTGTAATTTATTTGTAAATGTCAGCAGTATCAGCCACTGAAATAAAAGATGAGTCCTAAGGCAACTCTAAACCACAAGGGGCCCATGTCCTATACTTACTTTGCCGCAGCAACCATCCACTCTTCACAAATGCCATTTTCTCACCTACAGAAAAAAAAAATAGGCAGGTTCAGAATCATATTCAGAAAAGAGAATGACCCATATGAGCTGTTTTTACTCACTTTTGACACCAAATGTGTGTGGTTTTTCCATACCAGTAACCAATTCTCCAATTCTCAGGACACCAACTGGATGCCTACTGATTCAGGTGGATTCCAACACTAACTATGTGGAGGTAGCATCAGACCTCACCAGTTAAAAGCTCAGTTCCACAAGAGTGCTCCCACTTTAAAGAAAAGTCCTAGGCCTATTGTATTTCTGATGTACAAATTGGGAGATTTATATATATAAATTGATTTATTTATATATATAAATTCATATAAATATATATTGACTCCCTCCTGAGATTCAATAATCTGCTATGGCTCACAGAACTCAGGAAAGCACTTTACAATATTCTGTTTATTATAAAAGGATTCAACTCAGGAACAGCCAAATGGATGCTATGAAAAGCACAAAGTGTGCAAGCAGAGCTTCCATTGCCTCTCCAGGTACCACTTCGCAGCATCTCCATGTGACCAGTGGAACTCTGTCATTTATGGGTTCCTAAGGAGATGCTTTATTGACTATGCCAAAGCCTTTGACTGTGTGGAAAATTCTGAAAGAGATGGGAATACCAGACCTGCCTCTTGAGAAACCTATATGCAGGTCAGGAAGCAACAGTTAGAACTGAACATGGAACAACAGACTGGTTCCAAATAGGAAAAGGAGTATGTCAAGGCTGTATATTGTCACCCTGCTTATTTCACTTATATGCAGAGTACATCATGAGAAACGCTGGGCTGGANATACTTTGGCCACCTCATGTGAAGAGTTGACTCATTGGAGAAGACCCTGATGCTGGGAGGGATTGGGGGCAGGAGGAGAAGGGGACAACAGAGGATGAGATGGCTGGATGGCATCACCGACTCGATGGGCATGAGTTTGGGTAAACTCCGGGAATTGGTGATAGACAGGGAGGTCTGGCATGCTGCAATTCATGGGGTCGCAAAGAGTTGGACATGACTGAGTGACTGAATTGAACTGAACTGAACTGAAGGAGATTCCATTAGGTATCCATGATTACATCACTGGACACTGGTGATTAAGTGGCAGTCTCTCTGCCATCTCCTGGAGGTCCAGGAATGGGGTTGAAAGCTCTAACCTTCTCATCACAAGCTTGGTTCCTTTGGGAACCAGCCCCATCCTGAAGTCACCTAGGTGCACCCCACATCCCCACCCTACCCCCACACCAAGAGTCATCTCATTAGTATAAACTCAAGTATGGTTGAAAGGGGTTTATTATGAATTTAAAAAAAAAAAAAAACCTCCTAATGCCTCTAATCTCTCAGAAAATTCCAACGTTTTAGAAGTTCATATGTTTCTTATCATATCACAAAATCACAGTCCTTTGGTCTCTCTGTCCTTACTCCTTTCAGCTGGGTAAAGGACCAAAGTCATTTTATCTCACTGGCCATCTGGAATTTACCTAATACCTCGTTAACAGGGCCAATATAACCCCCTACACATACATTCTAGTTTTTAGCCTCAGCACCCTGCCCACCTTTTTAAAAGTAAGACTGATGCTGAAACTCCAATACTTTGGCCACCTGATGCAAACAGCTAACTCACTGGAAAAGACCCTGAAGCTGGGAAAGATTGAAGGCAGAAGGAGAAGAGGGTAACAGAGCCTGAGATGGTGGGATGGCGTCCCCGATTCAATGGACATGAATTTGGGCAAATTCCGGAAGATGGTGAGGGACAGAGAGGCCTGGAATGCTGAAATCCATTGGGTCGCAAAGAGTCAGACAGAACTTGGCAACTGAAAAACAACAATGCTGCCCACCTTACTAAGTGTAACTCCACTTAGGTCTAATAGACATAAAGCAGCCCCAGAACACAAAGATTCAGCTCTGTCAAGAACTTGTGACTTCTCCTAACATGCCTGGAATCGTGGGGCTCTGGGGTCCAGCTGCCTAAGCTCTACCCTGGGTGTGCCCTGCTGCTGCTGCTGCTGCTGCTGAGTCGCTTCAGTCGTGTCTGACTCTGCTCGACCCCACAGACGGCAGCCCACCAGGCTCCTCCGTCCCTGGGATTCTCCAGGCAGGAACACTGGAGTGGGTTGCCCTTTCCTTCTCCAGTGCATGAAAGTGAAAAGTGAAAGTGAAGTCGCTCAGTCGTGTCCGCCTCTTCGCGACCCCACGGACTGCAGCCCACCAGGCTCCTCCGTCCCTGGGATTTTCCAGGCGAGAGAACTGGAGTGGGTGCCGTTGCCTTCTCCAGGCGTGCCCTAATGACTTTACATAGCCCAGTTACAGTTGGCTGTGCATGGGTGTCAGCAGGTGGAGTGGCCAGGTCAGAGCAGAACAAAAAACTCAAAGAGCAGAACTCACCAAAAAAAAAAAAAAAATCNAAAAAAAAAAAAAAAAGGTCTAATAACTTTAACTCCATAAAAATTAAAATCTGAGTGGCAAAAGTAAAGAAGACCAATAAAAGACAAAGAAAAATACATTTTACAATCATATACATGGCAGCAGAGAGTTAATTTCCTTCACTTACAAAGCCAACTTATAACAGCAACAGCACTCATCTGGCAGTTCAGAGAAAAAGAAACACGAATGGGCAAAAAACTCATCAGCTCTCCATTTCTCCCTCAATTCAAACAGCAAAATTCAAATCACAAGTTAACAACATTACCTATTACAGGGCCACAAATGAAAAAAACTATGATACCCAGAAAGGAGAAAGCATAATGGCAGGAATGAAAACTATTGTAAACTTCTGGGAGGAGAATTTGACGATATCCATCCAAATTTTAAATATTCATACACTCTGAATGTATGAACCACCTCACCATTACTAGGAATACACCTCCTTGATACAGACAGAGTTTCACCCACACATGCGTAACACGATCCCCAACCAGAGGCCCCTCCACACACGGCAGATCATCATACAGATGTGAAAGGACTGAAGCAGAACAGTTTGTGCTCATGAGCACACAGGGCTGATATCCACCAGCACAACTGCTTTCTGGAAGGTGTCATCAAACTGCCAATGATGTGCGCCTCTGAGGAGAGGAGTGAGGTGGTGCTGGGCATCAGAAAAGAGGGCAATACTCAGACCTATTACAACTCTCTGCAATTTGCAAATGCTGTATCATTTAACTTATTTATTTACTTCTTGGCTGCACTGGGTTCACTGCTGCCTGAGGGCTTTCTCTAACTGTGGTGAGCAGGGGCTGCTCTCCTATTGTGGAGCACAGGTTCTAGGGTGTGCGGGCTCCCGGACTTCTGGCACACGGGCTCAGTAGCTGCAGTTTGTGGGCTCCAGAGTATGACCTCAGTAGTTGTGGCACACAGGCTTACGTTGCCCCATAGCATGTGGAATCTTCCCAGGCCAGGGATTGAACAAATCAACAGATATTATTTGGAGGCTGAAATTATGAGCTACTTTTGTTTTCTACTTTAGCATTTTTAAGGTATTCTCTTAAGACACAAAAGTTTTGGAAGGCTGGCAAAACAGAGCACAAGCCCAAGTAGCCACCTTAAAAGAACAAATGAGTTCTCCCTCATTTAATGTTTCCCACGTCTAAGTACGGCTTGCAGGTCATCCTGTATTTCAGCATCTTCAAAATGAATGTTCTTAGTCTCCCTGAAGTTTTTGCCAATTCACGCTGTTTGTCCTCACCAGGAGAGAAAGGATGTTTTTTCATCTTTCTCTTCCACATTTAGGCACTCAAACATCCAGTCCCAGATGAACTAGATGCACAAAGTCAGTCTCTTCTTTCTCCCAGAGGGTGTGCAGGCTGTTTACTGCTGCTGATGGTGAGGGTACATGCCTGAGGCAGCTGACTGTTGAGAAGGTAATGCTAACTGCTGAGCCACTGACTCACCCAACCAGGAAAATTCCCGCTAATGAAAGGCTTTCCATCAAACAAAGTGATGGGTTTCGTCATTACTTAAACTGAGCTGAACTAGTTTTCTGCAATTTGCAGCCTATAATAAGGGTCCCCAAGCCCCAGGAAGCAGACTGGTGTAGTCTGTGACTTGTTAGGCATGGGGCCACACAGCAGGAGGTGGGTGGTGGACAAGCAGGGCCTGCTACCCATAGCCCGCTGGCCCTTACTCCAGGAAAACAGTCCCTGGTGCCAAAAGAATTGAGGACAGGTGGCCTGTAACATCCCTAAAACAATCATTTACTTCCAAAAGGATTTGAGGCAGAGAAATAACACTATTATAGTTTCATTCAACAAATATTCTTTGAACCTGTAATGTGTGCACAGCCTTGCAGCAGACACTAAGGATAAAGCAGGGACCAAGCCAAAAGCCCTGCTTTCCTGTTAGTTGATACGCTAATGGAAGAAAAAGATTAAACTTGGAAGTTAAAAAGACAGGGGATGGATGTTATAGAGAGCATCACATCTCTGCAGTGATATTATTACCCCAAAACATAAAACTGCAGGGTATTCACTCATGCCAAATCCTGGATATTTATACTAAAACTTCCTACAATCCTTAACAGAAACTCGTTTATTTTCCTTTCCACGTGAAAAGGAAAATAATTGGGATTAGGCCAAAAATTACCTGCAGGTATTGGGAGCCACCTAGTTTACAATACATACATAAAACCTGACTGAAATGCTGCCATACAACTTTGCTGGTGGATGTGGAACCAAGTGAACAGTCTAAAAATGTGGAGCAATAGGAAGGAGTTTCCCAAACTTCTGTGGTAAATTTTCTAAAATCTCTAATGATTGATATTCATTTGGCTATATTTGTTGACATTCATAACAGTCAAAATAGCAGCTCAGCCTAACACTGAAATTAAGAGCAGCTTCATTTATTCACAGGTCTTCAAGAATCCAAGACCAACTTTATGTGCCTGTAAGATTAACACCCCAAGTCTGAGCAAACGCCAGGAGCTGGTGATGGACAGGGAAGCCTGGCGTGCTGCAGTCCACGGGGTCGCAAAGAGTTGGAGATGACTGACTGAACTGAACTGATAATTAACATCCAGATTAATCCAGAACTGAACATTAACATCCTGGATCCACTAGCATCCAGGAAGATGAAGACTAAACTCCTTAAGGACTGAGAACTTCCCAGTTATTTACTAACTGTATGCATCAACATTTGAGTTGCCAGATATCGTGCCTGTTTTCTCTGGCATTTGCTTGAGAGTGAGGCTGGGTTTCTTTCACTTTTCAGGTAGATGTGACTCAAGGGGATGTCAACAAGAGAAAACTGAAAACCCAACTTGGAAATCAATTTCAAGCCACTTGAGGTAAGATTTAAAACAGGAATAAAATGGAAAAAAAAAACCTCTACATAGATAGGACAACATTATAAATGTATCTCTTGCATGGCTAAATAGTTCAAAACTAAGGAAGAAAGGGAAAAGTACATTATTACAAGGTAGAAAGAAACTTGAACTGAAATTAGCAACAGAAACTCATGACTTTTTGAAAAAGGGTAACTGTTCTGCAGACTCAGATATCTTCTTATCTGGTATCATCCTATCTACCCTTAGTCATTATACGGAACAATCTTACATGCCCAGATATTTATCTCTAATACTGGTCTCCTCTAAAAGGAACCTGTACTCCTTGAAAAATGAGCTGCTTACAATTCAGGGACAAGATACCCCAAGATATGCCCAAGATGACTTATTGTCAAAAAAACAAAGGTGCTCTCAAGGAAAAAAGTCAGCCAGCTAAAGGGTATTTAATGGCCAAACTGTGACAACACAAGTGCCAATGTGAAAACAATAATTACAGTTCATTAGAACCAACTGAGGCTAAAAGGCATCCTAAGTATAAAAATGATTCAAACCATACAGCCACATCACTATAGAATGTGCTTGAGAAAACAAACACTGTGACTTCAATTTCACAATGAAGGGGGTGGTGGTTAAAAATAAACAGGTCAAACAATCTGATTTGTGTAATTCCTTCCCCTTACTAAATAACTCAAAGTTACAGCATTAACAGTAAGAGGTATTTGCTATTTATAAATAACAAAGTCTAAGATGTTAGAATTTCTTTTTTAAGACAAAAAGTCTAGAGTTCTGAGTTAAGGACTCAAATGTACTGAAATATAGGCAGCAAAGAAGATTGTAGGAACAGGCTACAAACCAACCAAAAACTTAAAAAACAAGCTCTCTATCTCCATTAAAGAGGCGAGCCTCTTCTGTCAGGTACCATGCTGGATATCACACCACTACCTGGAGCATACTGCCTCATCAGCAGGAGCATCCTCAAACTCTGGCTCCCAACCCGTAAGTGAGAGATAACACAACACAGACCCCAACACTGGGCCGCACGACCACAGCTACATCTTTTTATCTAGAGTCTGTCCCCTGCCAAGCCCCTCCAGTATACCCTGAACCCTGATCGCAAAGCAGAGGAGGAGGGAATACTGCCTATCACTCAGCCTACTTGCCTTCAGTCTTGTAGAGTATTCACATGCCACTGCCCCAAACAGGTTTATCATCAGCCTAGACCAATTCCTGGTCCTGGATCCTGCTAACCTGTCCTGCCCTGAGGTTACCTAGGATAGGATTACTCAGTGCTCAGAAGGGAAAAAGAAAAAAAGGCAGACTTTAAACATCCATCTTCCCATTTTTCCATCTACAGTACTTAGAAATATTACATATTTCTAGAAAATCCAAATCTCTTGTCACTAAACACTTCAATTCACATGAGAGTTACTTTCAAAGAGAGAAAACACAACAGTGACATTAAAATGAGACTCCAAGACAAACGACCTATTAATAATGTGAAGATCACCCCTGCTGGTGACTGCTTAGGTATTTTCAACATTAATGACAAATTAAACACCTAATCTGCTTTCTCATGAGATGAATTTTAGTTGCATAAATCCACAAAGGCAAAAAGAACGGCAACAGAAAAAGCAGATGAGCTGCTAATAACATTGTGAAAGGTCTAAAGCAAATGAAAAAGTAGTAACTAATAAATATAAAATTTAGCTTTCTCTACTTTTCATGTGCTAACAATCAAAACATAGCAAGCCAACCCTAGTCACAGAACACTGTGAAGATTCAGGATTTAGAAGCATGAGATAATTCTAAAGGTGGGGGAGATGGTCAGAATTTACTGAACATCTCTAAGAAGAGTCACTAGGCCCTCTAACACATCCAGGCTACTATCCTCCCCAATCCTGAGGATTTCCTTTCTGGAAAGGCTGAAACACAGAGCGTTTATCTAGTCTTGGTGACGTCAGGGATAGCTCAGAGTGGGAGTGAGAGGCCACACTTAGCGGAGTAATAGAGTAAGTGAACATCTTGGAACTTCACGTTCTCTTCCTTTACTTAATTCCCAGACTCTCTAGGTGTGGGCAAAGGGCACAGCCCAAGACTCATTAACACTGATCTTTTTTTTTTTCCATAAAACAACTGACCTCTGCCTAAAACCCTAGAAGAAAGCTCACCAAGTAGTAAGCTTTAAACAAACATATAAACTTTCAGTCAATTTTTTTAACATCTTGAATAGAAACAGCATGCATGTTCAGGCTTCGCAGGTAGTGCTAGTGGTAAAGAATCCACCTGCCAATGCAGGATATGTAAGAGACAC